GTATGGTCCCCAACTTAGGGTGGTTTGACTTACGACTTTTTGACTTACAATGACATGATAGCAATATACATTCAGTAGAAAAGGTACTTCAGGTTCACATACAACCATGCTGCTTCTCACTTTCAATATCGTATTTGAAAAATTACATGAGGTATTCAACACTAGATTATAAAATAGACTTCATGTTAGATGTTTTTGCCCAACTGCAGGCTAAAGTAAGTGTTCTGAGTATGTATGTGTAAGGTAGGCTAAGCTATGATGTTCAGTAGATTAGATACACTGACTTCATTTTTGATTTACAATATTTTCTACTTACCATAGGTTTATTGGAACACAGCTCCATCATAAGTCAAGGAGCATCTGGTGGGAGTGAGAAAAGAGAAAAAAAGAAACAGAGGCTTTTAAAAAGTTTTAGAGGCCAGGCAAGGTGGCTCTCGCCTGTAATCCCAGCACGATCGCCTGAGTCCAGGAGTTTGAGACCAGCCTCAGCAACATAGCATAACCCTGTCTCTACCAAAAATACAAAAAAAATAGCCATGTGTGGTGGTATGCACCTGTAGCCCTAGCTACTCGGGAGGCTGAGGTGGGAGGATGGCTTGAGACTGGGAGATTGAGGCTGCAGTGAACCATGATTGTGCCACTGCACTCCAGCCTGGGCAACAGAGCAAGACCCTGTCTCAAAAATAAATAAATAAGTAAATAAAAAAACTTAGTACCATACTCCCTGCCTCTCTGTAGAACCTGTTCTCTGAAGGGGAATCTTTCTCATTTCATGATATCCACATGTTCCTTGCATGCTGGCCTGATGAACAGCTAGGGTGAATGCAAGAGCCCCTTAATCGTTTTCAGTAGAAAGCCAAAGTACTACAGAGTCAAGGAATCACTGTTCAGCCACATACTTTCTCTCTCTCTCTCTTTCTCTCTCTCTCTCTCTCTTGCTCTGTTTCTCTCTCTCTCTCTTGCTCTGTTTCTCTCTCTCTCTCTCTCTCTCTCTCTCTCTCTCTGAGATTCATGTGAATTGTTTTTTTCTTGAGGGTCTTGCTCTGTTGCCCAGGATGGAATGCAGTGGCACGATCACGGCTCACTGCAGCCTCAACCTCCCAGGCTCTGGTGAGCCTCCCACCTCAGTCCCCCAAGTAGCTGGGGCCATAGGCATGAGCCACCACACCCAGCTAATTTTTGTATTTTTTGTAGACACCGGGTTTTGCCCACCTTGACCAGGCTGGTCTCAAACTCCTAGGCTCCAGTGATCAGCTTGCCTTGGCTTCCCAGAGTGCTAGGATTACAGGTTCGAGCCACTGAGCTGGCCTAACTGTAAATATTACCATATGAAAGGCACTCAGAAATCCTACAGAAAAATTGTTAAAACTTTGTTTAGCCCAACATGTCCAAAATGTAACTGGCTGTGGAAACCTCCATCCTACCTGCCCCTGTTTCTTTTTAGCAGACTTACTAGCGTTCCTCAGAACAGCACTATAGGGAACACCTTTACAATGTTCTGTCTCCAGTCTTTTTATTGTACTGATGAGGAAATTGAGGTCCAGAGAGTCTGGGAGCTGCCTTTCGGTATGTGCCAGCTGCAGAGCCAGAACCTGATTCACAAACATCCTTCTAAATCAATACTCTCTCCAGTAAATCACACTTCAGTATGTCTATTCCATACCTCTGATATATAAACAGTATACACAGCACATGAGTTGATGGCCTTGCAATTGCCAACTTACAAATCACCCTTTAAAAAAATACAAAGAAATCGCTAGGTGAGAGCTGAGATCATGTATACAAACTTGAAGTGTGTTTATACACACTATTAATCGCCCTTGTCATGGTTTATACTAGTTATCCAAGCCTTGCTGGTATCAGTTGTTTACTCTCATTGCCTTGTCACTGAAATAATACCAATAAGAACTACTAGCTCCCTTTTTGCTCTCAGTGTGAGGGATAATATTAATATATGGATGCAAATTTCTAGTATTTATCTTTATGCATTCATTTAAATGGAGCCAAAACTAAAAAAAATCACTTGTTAACAATATAATCAAAAACAAATCTTAAAACTGAGCACTTCATTGATAGATCAAATCCCATTATCACTAACTAAAAGGAAAATCCTTTAAAATTTGGTTGAAATTGAAACAATTTTCGAAAAAGAAAAGAAGGAAGAGAGAAGGATGGAAATCTTTGTTTCTGAAGGGGTTATAACTATTTGTCATATTTAAAAGTAAATTATGTTTGACTGTAAACTTTAAAAGGTAGGTAGCATACAAAATTTTTTAAAGAACACATTTTGAGAGCAGTCAGTACCCAAGTTTAAAGAGTATTTATGAATAATAACAGATTAGGAAAGATCGACTGGAATTCCTAAGAAGTTAAATATTCAGTGCCTGTGATCTGTATTTGTTACCTAAGGCTTCTTCTTCAGCAGAAGAAGGCAAATGATACCCTGCAAATGTTTCTAGCATGCAACTTTGCTTATCTCCCTGTATTAATGATCCTTATGGCAGCTGTTATATTAACCTTATCACATAGTGCAGCAATAAGGGAAAACTATTGTGAAGGATGGAAAAAAAAACATTTTGTTTAATCTCTGGGACCTTTTATGAGCTTAGCAATTTTCTGATTGTCAAGGGTGGAAAAAAAATGAAAGTTAAACTTTTACTGAGTTTATTTACAATCTCAAAGAAGAAACTGGACATTTCCAAATGCTTGATTCAGTAAATATCATACAGTTTGAAGAGGACACAGATTAAATTATCATCTAAATGCTCATTATGTGAGTTCTGGGTTTCACCAGGTCTGCTAGGGAACTCCCACCAGGAATCAGAAATTGGCTCCTGAGAAAGGCAGTCTCTTCTTCAGGGCTCAGAACTGCTCGTTTGTGGATATGACAGTACCAAAAAAACTTCCATTTGCCCCTTGTAAGACTTCTATCTCCTTCTTCATACAGTCTCTATGTGCACACAGAGGAAATGCAGAGGCTCTGTCTTTTAATCCCTCTTTAACCTGGATAACACCAAACCTGACCCTGACACCATTCTACCTTCTCTTCTCTCATGGTGTTGAGAAATCACCTAACTCTATGATTGCAATTAATGTTTTGCTCAACTACAAATGCTTGAGCTCAAACCACATACCAGCAGAGTGAACACAAGCCCCTTCCATTCCTTCACCTAGGTAATATGCTTTTTTTTTTTTTTTTTTTTTTCATTATCCCTTTAATGCAGAGCAGGGCTACTGATTAGCAAGAGGCAGTTTGACTCCAGCAATAGGTCTTCTTCACTAAGCCTCACTGTCATGGAAATTCCAGCTGCTACAAGAATAAGAGGCTCAATCCATATTTGCCAGCTCTAATATGAAATCTGTCAGAGCCCAAATTAATGAGTTCCAAATTCCTTACATCACGATAACAGGTTAAGACTGGTCAATTAATTACATAAATCCTTCCCGATTCATTGTGCGTTTGCAGCCCAGATTGTGTCTTACATTACTCCATGACACCAGGCCTTTTGGCTCCTGTTGTTCCGCAGAAAGGCCCCATTTAAGTGGAGGCTGCCTGCCACGGCAAAATGTTAAATGTCACACGTTAAATTTGCACTTTTCTGTAATTGCTTTTGTTAAAAAAAAAAAAAAATTGAACGAAAGCACACGGCTCCCAGTAAACCGCTATGCAGACTGCTGGGATTGTACTGCCTGGATCCCAGGGCAGGTCAGCCTGTGTTTTACCTCTAAGAGTTAGCACTGGGTGGGTGCTGGGTCCTCTGTAAGCAGTGGAACCCAGAACGTGCATATTTGTGAAAATAAGCCAAGTTTCCCTAAGATCTAAGATTCTTGTCTTTATGAAAGGATTAAAATAGGATTCTCTACATAGCCAGCTTCCCTTGTCTACCAGTAAAACTATGGAATATCCTAAACACTGTTGATCTAAGCACCTTTCGGAAGTATGTGCATATTGTATTTGCACAGGCCTTTGCCTTCAAAAACAAAACAAAACAAAACAAAAAAGATATTCGATATTCGGATTGCTTTGCTATTGGGATTTGTCCCTGTAACACACCTACAGAGAGTGGATTAATTGAGGACCTCAAAATCAACCAGGCCAAATCTTTTCCTTTTTAAAACATCACAATATGCTTGGAATCACAGCTAGTTAGAATTCAACCGGGATGTTCAAGATTCCTAGCGTGGTCTCTCGCCTCACTACATTTCTCTGTGGACTTTTATGCACTGGAAACGGTTCCAGTTGTATTTCCTGAACCATCTTATTGCGGGACAGGGGTTCTGCGAATACACGAGCGAACAAATGATGCTCCTAAGTACAACCGACACCTACGTAGGGAGCAGGTTCTTTCTACTTGGGAGCCCTAACACCACTCCACTACGCGGGAAGCTCGCCGGACTCAACCAAGGGCGCGTTCTGCAGACGGCGGCTACAGCCTCCGCACTGGCCCGGCAGCGCCCCCTCCTGTCCTCTGGCAGCCTGGCACCTGATGTGTTACCGGCTTTCTCCGGGGACTAGAACACAGTCCCTCCTAAGATATCTCAGCCTAAAGCGGATGTCAAACTTCTATCTCCCCGCTTGCAGCCCCTACACACACACGCGCGCGCGTACACACACACACAGAGCACCCTGACCCAGGCTCGTTTCTAGACCTGGAGCCACGCACTTCCTCCCCAGCAGCCCAGTCCCACCACCAGGCGCGACTGTCCCCTCCCTCTCCAGACGGGAGGGGCAGGTTAACGCGGCCGCACGCCCGCTGGGCAGGTTTTAGACTCTTGGGGGCCTACAAGGGAAAGGGGTTAACTAATGTGTGCGGTGAGTGTGCAGATGACAAAATTTAGGGCGTGGAGAGTTTGCCCGGTCCCACCGCATCCGCTCGCGGGGACCCTCGGGAGCTGGGCACCACCGGGCCAGGGCAGCACGTTGTCGCCCCTCCTCGGGCCGGGTGCGAGCGTCTACAGAACAAAGCCTGGAGTCCAGGCCCGGCCCCGGCCCCGCGCGGCCGCCCCTCGCTCAGCCCCTGGGCGGCAGGGCCCAATCCACGCGCGCTCTCTGGCCCCGCGGGGCCCTGAAAGCCGGGACACGCGGAGGTCCGCAGGGTCCTCGGCGTTCACAGCAGCCTCCCACACCAAGCGCACCACCCGGAGCCCCTCTGCACGAGCGCTGCTTATTGCTCTTTTCCCCAGCAGCCAGAGTCGTCACGGTAGCGCGGGAAGGGGCCTCGCAGGCCGGTCTGCAGCAGGTGCTGCCGGGAGCCGCAGGCCGCGCGGTAAATCGCTGTCTCTTTGCGGTCGTTGTTCTCACTCACCGCCCGCCGCCCCCTCCACCAGGGCTTTTTTTTTTTTCTTTCCGCCGCGCAGTTGCCATGGGTTACCAGAGCAGTTGCCATGGGTTACCGGACCGAGGCCGGCTGGCTCGCTACCTGCCGCCCAGTCGCCGCCGCCGGCAGAGCGGCCCGGGCGGGAGGCGGCGGGAGCGCGCGTGTGCGGGACGCGGCGCGGGGGATGCGCGTGGGCCGCGGAGGCGCTGCAGCCAACAGGCGGCCGAGGGTGCAGCTGCCGGAGCGCCACCGCCGGTGGGGTGGGGGGCAAAGCTATAAAGAAGGCCCAGAGGTAAGAAACAAGCAAAAACACAACCACAAGTTATGCCTGTGCTGTGCCTCTAGCAGCAAAGACAAGCGGTGTGGGCTTTTTGGATGAATCTACACTTCTCGTCGGGGGAGAAAGGGTATTTTCCTCTTTAGCATAAGGCATTTGCATAGTGTCTTTAGACCAGAGTTTAAATTCAGGAGGAAACTGTAGCTTAAATGGGTGTTCTCTCTCTCTCTCTCTCTCTCTCTCTCTCTCTCTCTCTCTCTCTCTCCCCCTCCCTCCCTCCCTCCCTCCCTCTCTCTCCCTCTCCCTCTGTATCTTTTGAAAAGAAGTCTTTGGAATTTTGGAGAAAGAGAAAGGGTCATTAACTATCAGAGTTTGCGCAGCTAAAAAATTAGTGTCCAATGCACTGCTCATGATCTAGAGAAGTTTCCAGTAAGACTGAAGCGCAATTGTGTCTGCTAAAAGGGACAATGGTGACTGGTTTGTCAGATGCATATGGCAAAGAATAGAACCAAAGTCCTTTGTATATACAGCAAATGTTAAAGAAATTGTTGCTTATTTACATCCTTCTGAAATTTTTGAACTCCACTCTATTAAAATTATTAATTTCTTATGACGTTTATTTGCAAAGAAAATTCTATGCTTTGAATGTCAAATTGCAGTGACTAATTTCAGATAGTATTTTGTATTTGAAAATGTACTTATATATAATCAACTAAGAAAAGGTCTGTATTCCAAACAAAAACACAGATTGTATTGAAATAAATTGTTTCCTTCATTGAAAAGATGTTGCGTTGTATTCACAGGATACCAGCTAATAATTTTAATATTAAGGGGGAAACTATTTAGAAACAGAGTAAGTTTTGTTATTTTTGTTTTTTAAATGTTAAGAAGCCTCTAATGAAAAAGGGTCTTCTTTTACAGTTCAAATACTGAACGCCTTATTTGTACCACAGTCGCTCAATAACAAGGAATCTTTAAGGCACCCAAAAAATACAAACCAAATTCAAAACAACATCCAGTTTACTGTTGGATATAACAGTGATTGTGGCCAGGCTAAATGAATTTGTTTAACTTCTTAATTGTCATAAAAGAAAATTTGTTCTTTTACTTTATACTGCATATCAGTTGTTTGTATTTAATTATTCAATAAAATGTGGACTAGGTTTGAAAAACTAGTAAGATACTTAATATCTTAAGGGATAATATCTGCTTAAAAATAAATACTTGTTTTTCCCTAGTAATTTTCAAAACTTGAAATTTTAACTAGAATTAAGTAACTTTCTTTCAAGTGAGACTTTATAAGAAGCCTAAGTAACAGGTTGTTGATTTTCACTGTTGACACCTTTGGGTTATATATAAATCTGGTTCTACAACAAAACACATAAATTGGCTTTATAGGTGAATAGTTTACCCTTTCAGAATTAGCCAGGGAAAATGCCATTTTGCTGTATTGTAATAATAAAGAATCCAGGATTACAATTCTTTACATTTGAGTCACATTAAAAATAGTGTTAAACATCTATTCTATTCAGGTTAATTACCAAAAGCAATTATTTTCTTTTTCCTAAAGAAAACTTTATAAAAATATGCCAGAGAAAAATAAGAGATGAACCAAGAAAACCACTGGAAACTGAAGTTCATTCTAAATCTCTCAGCTGCAAAAAATCAGTTTTCAGAAGCCAGTGTGTGGACACCAAAACAACTGAACCAAGGCTAAAAGCCTCAAATATGTACAACTATAGTGACTATCAAACCATGTTTTACCAAATTTCATCATCAAAAAATTCAAAAACACGGAGTTTTGATCTAAGGTAGAATATATTCTCTTGTATAAAATAAGTGATCCAGCAAAGTTGAATTTTTTTCACGTTTAATGTAAAAATGATGAACTCATGACATTTACCTACCAAATATTAGGCATTACTTAATATTAACTTTGATGGCTATGATACATTATCTAAAAATAATATGACAATTGGTGGCACAGTATGTGTTTTTCAAAACAGCTGTAAAACAAATGTCAACTCAAATACATATTGCTGAAAGGATAAGGATCGCTCTTAAATGCCTGGATGGTACAAACTCTACATACTAGCATGATAAGAAATTGCTAAATATTTTCTTTTCCTGTATTAAAATCATGAAGATCTAAGACACATTAAATCAAAATATTTACCAAAATTTAATAATGTTTTAGACCAAAGAAAAAAGGACAAATTAAAGAAATCATTCTTATTCTGAATTTAATTTTTTTAATGTTAGTTTTTAGTTTTGTTAGCTTTTTTTTCTGCTGGTTCTTTGAAACAAGCATTGTAAAGACTTTTTAATAATACAATAACTTTTAAATTCCTAGTGAAAATGAGAAGGTTGCTTTTTGTAGCAGCTCTGGCCACTCTCCAGTTAGGCTGGGTTACATTTAATTAAAGCAACAAGTTGTCCTACTTATCTGAAAATATCTTTTTGTTAGTTTCACAGAAATATTTTGTACCATTCGACATGGAAGAAACTTGGGTAATTATCTCACAAAAATTCTGCCTTATCTGAAATCTGAAGTTCAAAACAGTTTATCTAAGATACCTTAGGAAAAAAAAAAAAAAGACATTTTATAAAATTATACTAGTCTTCAAGTGGATGCTTTAAAAGAAAGGACTTTTTTAATGCATATTCCTGAAATTAGCAAGTTGACATCCTTTTCTAAATTATGGGAATATTTATTGGTAAAATTAATTTTTATAAGATCCTTCCTCTGATTTAAGTAATAAGTAACCACCACTGATACTGAAAGTTATCTAGTGATAAGAAATTGCACATTTAGTCAGAAAATAAATCATTAACCTGTAGTTCTAATTATGTGATAATGAAAACAAACGATTTGTCTCCAGAAACCATTTGGTGAAGCTGATTTTGGACAATGAAAATGTCTTTCTGAATCTGTATATTGCAATTATAAGTAATATTACTAGCACTATCTATGTTTTTTTCTAAGATGTAAACATTATTTTAATATGTCTCTACTCATAAGATACATTTCCATCTAAGCATGAAACAGAATACTGGAAAGGTTAAATACTCTTAAAATAATTCAGTCAAATACCCAAAAGCATAGTGTTTTGCCAGTGCATGGGAGGTATCCACAAAATATCAGCCACATGTCTGAGAGAGGCAGTCTCGTCTATGCTGTTACTCTTCATAGTGGTTAATAACATACACAGCCGTGTTTACGGTAACACTGCCCCATTGATACAAGACGAAATGCTGTATCTTGATTTTAAATGCTACTTATTTGCCTATCTTTTTAAATTCAATAAAGCTAACTAGGTTTTTTTTTAACATGTAAGTCATTTCATTTGAGAGCAAGATCTTGTTTACCAATAATGTCTGCCTATAAAGGATAGTATTACATTCACAGGATTTTTAGCTTTACACAGAAGCTTACCTAAAATAAGACAACATAAAAATACCATTAATAAACAACCCAACATCTTTAAGAATTTAAATACCTAACATCATGACAGTGAGCTTTAGGTAAGAATATATTGTTACGAAGCTATCTTCTCTATGACTGGACATAATTTGCTGTTCCTAAGATAGTAACATTAGAATTATTTTTCAGGATTCCTGTGGAGCTGTATTTACTTTACATCCATGTGAACTGCTGTCATCACTACTGTGTCCAAGCCCAGAGGATGAACTGGAAAAGAAGAGAGGGGGAAAATAATAAAAAGAGGAAATTGGTTTTCACAACACACTCAAAGCCTGAGTAACAGAGGAGAACTTTAATTATCTCCAGTCACAAAGAGAGACAGGAAATTTGGACTTTTAATTAGCCATTTGGAGTGCAGTTGGGTATTTTTTTAGCTAGATAATTTAAACGCGAATAATTCAAGTCTGACTAAATGAAAGTCACATAATCAGAATGCAAATAATTGAATTTCTACTGCATTCATTAATTCAGTGTGGAGGTGTATGTGAAGACTACTATGATGAGCTGTCACAGCTCAATAAAATCTCAGTCAATTAATTTTTTCATTATCTTAGTATTACATCAACAAAAAAGGGAAGTGTGTACATATATCTATACACATGCATATGTGTACTATGTATTATATAAATACATATACATTAAATCAAAATGCAAGGAAATACCTTTCTGAATCATAATCTATATCATTTTCTTTTTTTCCTTCTTCATCTTCTTCAGGGAAACGTCTGTTCATCAAGGCAAACTTGTGAATTGCTTCTTCCACAGAGTATTTAGTCTGCCCCGAAACACACGCCTCAATGTCTTCTGAATTCAGATGGCTCTGTAAGAAGAGGTGAAGGCTGCTATCTGAAAGCAAAAGTGCATTCTGTAGGACTCTATATATAAAAAAAAAAGGAAGAATAATTGGTGAACAGGATGGTCAATGATAGGGCAGAAGAAAGAAAAATCATTAGAAAGGTAGCACTGAAGTTAATTTCTCTACTGTGGTAAACTTTGCATCAATTATGGGCTCTGCCCATTAAGGGGAGGAAAGCATATGTTAACTTTTATTCAATTATTTGGAAATTTAGGTGGGTGAAAAAATGCAGCTAATAGTTAAGAACATCTGTTAAAAGAATAACTTCAAGGACATTTCTTCAATTTAACCATCTGTTATGACCATGTGGATTAATTATGGAAGTATTTTGCTTATATAGTCATAGAAATTTATTCTACTTTAAAAAAAATTTACTGCCAACAGCATGTCAATTCAGTGATCTTTATGGGATAGGCTGTCATGAAACATCAAAACTTTCAACTGCTATTAAAAATTATATGAAGAGGTTGATACACTTCTCAGCATAGTTTATATTTTAAAACTTTACAAGTATAGTTATATATTTAAGTGCATGTTTACAACAGCTCAAGAGAGAGATGCCTTTTTTTTAATACTTAAGGTTGACTAGAAATTTCTCCAAAATCTTTGGTGGCACTGAATCTCTGTGTTGTCAAAATGAGCAACCAAATAAAATTGATCCCAGCCAACTTTACCATATACATAATTAAAATATGATAATTTAGTAATTAGTACATACTGCTCTTCCCACATTCAAGATCAAAGTTTACAAAGACAGAACAGATTTCAACTAGGGCATCAGAACTACACGGAAAATTAAAAACTATCCTGTAGTTTTTAATTTAAAATCTATAGATGCTCAAATTCATATCATCGGTGAATTTGTTTTCTCTGAAATTCACATCTTAGAATATGAAATCAAATCAAAGTACACCTTTATATTTAAATAAAAACTGGTTTATCTTTTTAGCAAAGATGTTGACATATGATAATTTAGTCTCTACTAACAGTTCAATAATTACCTAAGAAGAGACACTAAGACCAGATATAAGGGACAAAACTAACAACAGTAAAACCCAAGTATAATTTTGACCAACAAAAGATTTTTCCAATATAATGATCTATGAAAAATAGATCATGTATTTCAGACCAAATGAACCTTACCTTACATTCTGCTTGTTTAAATAAGTAGTAAGTAAATCTCTTTTGGCCATTAATATCGATTTAGTGAAAATCTTAAGGTCATTAGAACACCAAGTCCTTTTCTACAAAATAAAACAATTATTTCTTAAAGAAGGCAAAAATACCTAAAAATGCAGAGTATTAAAGTATTAAAAACCTAGCTGTCCCTTTGCTTTAGCAGGTTTACAGTTTGAGAAAATATTCTTTACTGGTCTATTAAAAGGAAAAGGAAAACTTTTGTGCTTTTTAAAAGGCAAAACCTCAAGCAAAGCAGCTAAATCCTTCCTTTTCCTTCTGTGTCCTCAGCCCTGGGTTCTCCCAGAAGATGACCATGTCACATGATAATGATGAATTTACCAAGTAGAAGTAGCTAAGTAGTAAATCCCTTTTAGTACTCTTTGAGATTTATTTTCTACATTTACAAATGTTTACCATTCTTGTTTTAAATACTTCAGATTAAGAGAAGAGTTATAGAGCAACAGCCATTAATATGAGCATGGATCATGAAGTCTGTGAAGTCTGAGGAGTGTTTCCTGTGGCTGCTGTCAGCGGTTTCCTGCCTGCCCTAAGTACAAGGAACTGTTCCTAGGATTGTACTCATTGCTTTGTTTCTATTGGAAATGTGTTTTATTTTCTTTATAAAATTATGGGTAATCTTTAAAATTGATTTTAGATGGTTTGAGGCATTACACCACAAAAGTAATGAGCACTAATGCCAATGATATTGGACACAAATTCATTTTAGCTTTATTTCATGTCTGAAGCAATTCTACTGAGCCTTGAACCGCTCACGTACTGTTATTAACTTGCTAGTAACTTAACACATGGGTACAGCAAACAAAAGTGATCAGAGTCCAGGTTTATCGGGACCTCAAGGCTACTGTCCTTTTTCTTGAGCTATAATTCAATTTCCAATTTTACTGTACATTAGACTCATTATTTCCAAGTTTTCTTTTCTGCTCAATACTGCCATCTGGAGGACACACAGATGAAAAGAGAAAGGGCCAGGTCCACCCAGCTCACAATTTGGAAAGAGGGAGAAAGATGTGGCTGGGGAAGGAACATCTGAAGCCCCCTAGGCCTGCAGTTCAAACCAGTGAGTGGCCTAGGCACAGTTTTGGTTTTTGGAATCCCCTCTGTTTCTCTGTCTAAATTCATGCCACCATACACCATGAATATGAGTTATAAATAAGCAAAAATAATTTTAAATATATTTATATGCTTTTAATTTTATAGTCAGATAGTTCATTCTGAAATTTAAAATGAAAACATTTGAGAGTGTTTTCCCATCTGGTTAGGTGAGCATAATTAATTTATTTTGAATACTGTTTGGCTTACTGTCAGAGAGGGCTATGATTGCCACCATCATACCATTAAATCCTATTTTTTCTTAGTCATGTTTGTGCCATATTTTCCACAAACAAATCTAATAGCAGAAAATCAATTTCAAACTTAATATAAAGAGTACTCTGTAAAACAGTCAACAAAACGTGATTTGTAGAAACTTCCATCCATTTAAAAAGTACACGATTTTCAAACCCTTATAAAACGAATAAAAAATAGCCTATAGGATTCTAAAGGAATTTCTAAAAAGATATTTATAGTGCAGATCAGAAGTTATTCCTTTCCCCATAACAATTTCAGACTAAACAAAGCAAAATCTGTTTTTTCCTTAAATTGGAACCAGTTGAAAATCAGTTTTCCTCAATGTGATTTTATTAGATGTACTGTATGCTGGGTTAGCTGAGAACAATATATGGCTATGCAAAATCATTTCACCCTAACTAAGGATGTCCTGGATCTACTGAACTCAATACAGTGATATCTATACACATCTGTATAGTACATGGAAGGTTAGCAGTCTGATGTAGAAAAAAAAATTGACTCAGCTTATTTAGCTCTTAATATAAGAAAAAATAAAACCCACAAATCTTCATTGAAGACATTCATGATGTGTGCTATGGTGCCCTCTATTGAACATAAAGACATAAAAATCATGTGTGTGTAAAACTAGTTGTCACGTTTCAACAGTAGCCTTTTGTAAAAAAAAAAAAAAAAAAAAAAAAAAAAAAAAAAAAAAAATCCTTAATATTTGAAGAAATACAAAACCGTGACATAAAAGTTTAAACTGTAGGGTAAATGTAATTGTATTAATGGGATGAATTCAGTAAAGAAAGGAAGCTGGCTACCAGTCATGAATAAATCTGTTCAAACCTAAATTGAAAATCCCATTCAACCTAAAAATTAGTAAGAATTTCATTTTTCATAATTGAAGACTTAGAGTTTATATTTTTTAGTCTGTAACTTTCTTTTCATAACTATTAGAAGTGACTTTAAATTTATAATTACTCCGGAGCAAAAAGGAGATTATAGTCAAGACTTAAGCAAAATGAATATATTTAAATATATATCTCACAATCATACCAAATGTAGCCAGCATTTAAGAGTACTGCTCATTTTGAATTTGCCAGGTCCTGGGATTCATATAGTACCTCTACCTTTCCTATAACTTCTTTATCTATAAAACTGAGATAATACCCAACTCCCAAGATTTTTGTAAGTACTGAGATTAAAACATGTAAAATGCCAAACGTAGAAAGTATTCGATAAATGGTAAAAAATTATTCTTATTTGGCACCTAGTCAAAGAAACAATTTTCTAATTCCTCTACAAAGTTCAGTGCTTTCTTATTAAATATGTAACATTTCGCAAATGTCCTTAAAGAAAAATAGGTGTATATACACATATACAAAGACATTGTGGTCTCAAAAGATTTGAACATATTTAGTGCTTCCAGTCAATAACTTCAAAACTTACATGAAAACCAGGCTTTAAAAATACATGCTAAAACCCTAGAGTAGAAGCAGGTTTCCACATTTTAATGCTGTGGTTCCTAAAATTCCTCTACAAACAAGGTTCAGGCTATTGATGGCTGGCCCTACTTAAGAAGTAACTAATGGGGCCTCAGAGGATGTCAAGCTGGGGCCACGACACACAACATGCACATCACATCCAATTTCCCAAAGTGAACCTGGGTTGGGTGAGGGGAGGGGGCACCAGGGAAAAGACATGGAGGGTGCTACCTTACACAACTCGGGAAAGCACAGATCTGTAGCACACAAAAGGGAGGCTGGGGCACAGAGCCCAGGTGAGGTCTGAAGCCTGCCCTGTGGTGTCTGACTCCTCACTTCTTTCAGGTTTAGGCTGTATAGAAGCCCCAGCTTTCGTTTTTAAAATGAAACCTTAGCTTGGAGGCAAATGTTCACACACCCCAGTGGAATAAATGATATCACAAGAGAACCGCCTGCCGATTCCATGATTTGACGATCCAATCAAATGACAATCCAGATTCTGTGTTAATGAGTCTAGCCCTTGAGATGTACACAGTGCTCCCCACTAGAATGGAAGCGTCAAGAGGACAAGGACTTGTTCATTCTGTGCAGTCCTTTGTCTGTGGCATACATCCTGGCCCAAAGCATACACTTAATAAACATCTGCTGAATGAAGGATCGCTGCATGGTTTCTGGAGTTTTTTTCAAGTCCTTTTCATCTGTAGGACGCAACCACCCAGTGAGGCTGGCTATGTGTGGATAATATCCCATTCTATAGCAAACAAAGGCTTAAAAGGAAAGAAGTGACTATTACAAGGGCATGCAGCTGGAAAAAAAAAAAACCAGGAACCATGATTATGGGAGACCTAGAACCCGCACCTTGAGTACCCTGATCAGGATACTTTCTACCATGACATCTGCATCAAATACAACCAGCAAACAGTCAAGCCATGCACTGTGCAAAAATAAGCTGGCACAAGCATAACCCCACTATGCTGAGTGACACTCACTGGGTCATTAATTTTGGTAGATCAACTGTGGATAGAAAGGTTGTGTTCAAAACAATGAAGTAATTCCTGGTCAAAAATACAAGCCCTGAGCGTAATTCAGAGGCACATGCTGTTTCCGGACCTGAAGTAAGACTTCTCTGCAGAAGACAAGCTGCCACAGCTCCCCCAGGACAACATCTATACTAGAGTGACAGGCAACTCTGTAGAATCGGGTTGCGGGGACCACATCTCAAGGGAGAGGCCATCAGCCACCCGGGCTTCATAGAGACAATTAAAATCAGAGCTCTCCTTGAGGGGAAAGGGCAGGAAAAACCTGGCCAAGTCTCTATCCTGCCATGCCTGTGATACCCCCAAAAAATACAATGAAATGTTTTTGGAGGACTTGGCTCTGCTCATCACTTCTTCTGGTATCTTGCCATTTGTATTCCTCTGGCTTCTCTTCCTTTGCCCACTCTCCCTCAACTTATAATCTTGGATTTTTCTGTATATGCCTAGTACACCTTCAAAGGAAAAGCACTATGTCAATCTAATAAATATAAATATTCATGTGCATACTTAATACCCAAACCCTTTATGAGAGAGCCAAATGGGGAGGAAGCAGTATATTATTTCAGGCTAGGTCTAAGGTCCTATTTAGTGAACCCCAAAGGAGATGACTGATCCTGAAACTACTAGAAAAAGAATGAGAGTCTAGGAGATTGGGCCCTCTCACTAACTAGTAGTCACATGACTCAGCCTGTTTCCTCATCTCAAAATTGGAAATTAGAAAAGCAAAAGCTGTCTCATGTCTAAGTGCATTAAGATAACAACAGCCAACACAAAGATAGCACACATCCTATGCCAGACACTGTCGTGAGTGCTTTACAGTCAATTTAATCTCTCAACAGCCCTGTGAGGTAGGTACTATGATTACCCCATTTTATAGATGGGAAGACACAGTCAGAGGTGGTATATTATCTGTCCAGGCTCCCTGCTATTAAGTGGCAGAGCCAGGTAGCCTGGCCTCAGTGCAAATCAACATGCTACATGGCCTCTAGCATTCTGGGTGTTCTAGCATTTCAAAGAGTGGAGGGGAGGAAAATCACTGGTACTATGAACTCCAGCAGCTTTAACTGCAGTACCCACCATCACAGAGTAACCCAGATTAATAACTCACTGAGATTGTTCACATGCCACCAAATATTCCTTTATAAACATTCCCTCCAAAGATTAGAGTTAAACCATTAGAGGAACCCAGAAGACATTAGCAGCCCTTCATAGAGCTGATTTTGGTCTATAAATTCTAAGCATTGTAAACAAAGACAGTTTTTAAGAGGCGCCTTTTGGGCCAGTGGTTCACGCTTGTAATCCCAGCACTTTGGGAGGCTAAGGCAGGTCTATCACCTGAGGTCGGGGGTTCAAGTCCAGCCTGACCAAAATGGAGAAACCCTGTCTCTACTAAAATATAAAAAAAAATTACCCAGGCATGGCGGCGTATGCCTGTAATCCCAGCTACTAGGGAAGCTGAGGCAGGAGAATCACCTGAACCCAGGAGGTGGACGTTGTGGTGAGCCGAGATCACGCCACTGCACTCCAGCCTGGGCAACAAGATCAAAACTCCATATCAAAAAAAAAGCACCTTCTGATAATTAGGCATATTTGTTTCCTGACAAATTTTTGCTTTTGTCAGGTAAACTCCCATGTAATTTGAATCTGCCTGAAAGCTTAAGAGACCAAGTATTTGTTATCTACTTCAATTCGTTCATTGTGTTCTTTCTAGGCTTGGTCCCAAATATGTACCAGATGATGTGAACCACAAGATGGTGCTCTAATATAGGAAATGGACCACTGGGTTTCACTCTAGTGCATATTATTTGCATTTCAGAAACAGGAACATTCTTCCCCACACCATCATGCAGCTCTTGTAAAGTACTTGCTCACACTCCTTGTCTGGCCACAGAAGTTTCTGGACACTCACTTTCTGAGGAAATCTTCCAGACCCTGGCGACGCTGATCCACATGTTGGCGATTGTTCATGTTGAAAAATAGGTTTTTAGACGGAAGTTCTGGCAGTTGTCTTAGGAGAAAGAAAAAAAAATTTTTTTTGATGATTAATTCAAGGTGCTTTTATTACAGAAATCTCTCAAAGTGAAGGCAAATTATGTATGATTATTATTATCACATAGTTATTCTATAATTATGATTATACATTATATAGTTATATAATAAGGGTAAGAGGAAATCAGTTAGCTTAAGGAAAAACTCATCTTTAAACATTTCTGAGGCCTTTCATAGCCTATACTCATCAACGTTGGTGAAATTTAAGTTATAAATTTTAAATTCAGATGCAGTAGCTAAAAAACTAAAGCTACATATATTGTAATCAAGGCAAAAGCCTATAAAAATCCTTCGTATCTTATATATCTTAATGGACATCAATTTTAAACATTAAATATAATGACAAAGTCTCCTCAAAATAAATCACTTACACCAGCAATGCATTACTTTGGAGTCTCTGCCTCAGCCACACGAATTCTCTATATCTTCTTCGTACACAGGATGTTTTCATTGTAAAACACATGCTATTAGTCTGTACAGAAAAAGTAGAAAGATATGAGTCTTACCTGAGAAAAAATGTATTCCTCCTATCTATAATTCACAATATGATCCCAGCATTCATTCTAAATAGGATTTAAATCACCAAACTTATATTTATGCCAGTACTCTGAAATCTTGCATATAACCCAGGAACATAACAGCCCTGAAGACAGCCAGGATGATGGGAATGAGCAGTGTTGCCCAGGGCGAGGTACGACCTGGGTCCTGAAGGAGCTGCCTACTCACCCATGAGCACTGCTTTCAAGAACAAATCATAAAAAATAAATCCTAACATATAAATGACAGGGAGGAGCTCAGGTTCATCTACTGCATTTTACGGCCATCCATGTAAGCTGGAGGAGCCTTTGGGGCTTAGAGACACCTCCCTTATGAGACACTGCAGAAACCTTCATCTCCTTGATATGGCCACCCTGCAGATCACATAAATCACCAGGAATCCTGAAATCACTTTTAAACTAGAGAACAGCCTTCCCTTCTTTACTGGATGTGAGAGGGAGCATGTCCGGGCCAGAGAGTGGCTGTGGTGCGTGGAGATAAGCATCTGGCATAGAGGACGAAATTCCAGTCCTGGCTCTGCTACAGGGAAGTCACTCAGACTTCAGTTTCCTGAGTGCTAAAATGGGATGAACTAGCACATATCTAATTCACAGGGTGGTTGTGAAGCTTGATAATAAGCACTTGGCCAATGTTATCTATTAATATGATTATTAGTTACTAAGTGTTGGTTTCCTTCTAGCTACCCTAAGGCAGACTTGGAAAAAGCCACTTAAAGTGTTCCCATGCTAAGCTCAGCCACAATGCCTCTACTTTGGGTAAATATAATACGAGAGTAAATATTCTCCTTCAGGTAAAACAAGAAACTAGCAAATATTTGTTTCTCCTGGTTTTTGAAAATACAAATATCTCTATTCTCTGTATTTATTTCAAAATCTGATTTTCTAATCTTTACTAAATGAGAAACAATTTTTTACCCCCAAGATCAGTACTATGTCAAAAATTACTATTCTACCACTTAATTTGCCCAGCTATTGTTTTCCTTGGGAAATCTAAGTAATTATGTGCATTAGTTTTTTGTTTTTGTTTTTTTTTTTTTTTTTAGATGGAGTTTCACTCTTGTTGCCTAGGCTAGAGTGCAATGGTGCAATCTAGGTTCACCGCAACCTCCGCCTCCAGGGTTCAAGCAATTCTCCTGCCTCAGCCTCCCAAGTAGCTGAGATTACAGGCATGTGCTATCACATTCAGCTAATTTTGTATTTTTGGTAGAGACAAGGTTTTTTCCTTGTTAGGCTGGTCTCAAACTACCGGCCTCAGGTGATTCACCCACCTCAGCCTCCCCAAGTGCTGGGATTACAGGTGTGAGCCACTGCGCCCAGCCACATGAGTTCTTAAACTGTTCTCATAAAATATATGACACGGTTTCTGGTATTCTCATGCTTTATAAAGTTCAGAAAACTTCAGAATGTAGACAGGTTAAGAGGCTCACCCGCAAGGTACCCTCTGGTCTAAATCCCACTGTCTTTAACAATACGGCAGCAAAACCCACTGGAAGGAGTTTGCGGCAGATAACATTCTGTGGGTGGACTTAGAGCACACTGGGGCCTCACTCTAATGTGCTCCTTGGGGACTAGGCTAGCAGACCATGTTATGCCAGTACTGGTGCCCTAACGAGGCTTGAGCGGGTATTTTCCCAGTACCCTCTCCCTAAAGAATACCAGACCACTGCAGGGACTCCTGACATCTCAGATACAGACTGGGTCAATTCAAATTCCTTTTAATTTTTCTGCTTACAACCACCATGGCTGTCAATAACTAAAAATCCACCTGGTACCTACACCAGACTAAGATTCATCCATAAGTCCTTCATTTGCAGGGAAGGTTCAGGGAAATATTTATGATGGCTACCCAGCTCTAGGGTCTACTAGTTTAAAATTCCAAGTAAACGTTAAGATTCCAGAGTTGCATGACATCATCTCCCTTGATGATTAAATTAACCAGCTTAAATTAAATTAACCAGCTTCTCTACCTCCAAAGCTCTATGGGTGTAACATCTAAGAGAAGCCAACCAGAACTCTCAAGCTCTGCCATCCACTTTTAATTGTATGACAGGTGGAAGACTCTTCAAGATGAGAAGATACTGAGTTCACTAACTGATTAAGTTCCTCTAAATCTATTTGCTTGCTTTTGCTGTCCACCAAGCCCAGGCTTACCCGTTGTCAATTTATTAACATTTCAGAGAAGTGCCAGAACAGCATCAAATAATATTTGTGGAACCCATTATTTCTGGCTCTGGATAGAGATTTCTGAATTTGCATCAGGCTATTTGTAGAGCACAGAAGAATCTTTTTTTTTTTATATTGCATTTTAGGTTTGAGGGTACATGTGAAGAACATGTAAGATTGTTGCATAGGTACACACGTGGCAATATGATTTGCTGCCTTCCTCCCCCTCACCTACATCTGGCATTTCTCCCCATGCCATCCCTCCCACCTCCCCACCCCCCGCTGTCCCTCCCCTATTCCACTCCAACAGACCCCAGTGTGTAGTGCTCCCTTCCCTGTGTCCATGTGTTCTCATTGTTCAACACCCGCCTATGAGTGAGAACATACAGTGTTTGATTTTCTGCTCTTGTGTCAGTTTGCTGAGAATGATGGCTTCCAGGTTCATCCATGTCCCTACAAAGGACACAAACTCATCATTTTTGATGGCTGTGTAATATTCCATGGTGTATATGTGCCACATTTTCCCTGTCAGTCTATCATTGATGGGCATTTGGGTTGGTTCCAGGTCTCTGCTATTGTAAATTAGAGCACAGAGGAATCTATACCTTCATTACCTCCTGGGAATAATTAAATTTCATGCCTATCATGAAGTGTGTGATTAGGATGCACAATTTTTTTTTTAGAAAAAGTTAGAAGGCAACTAAAAATATTTCATTTTACTTCAAATGCTTATTCTCATATAGGCATAATTTTCCACACAGAATGCAACTCTAGTGTGAGCTTATGAGTAAAACCAAAACAGAATCAAAATACGTGGCATACCCTGGAATGGCTTTACAACACAATCAAAAAAGCAGTTCTGAGTTTTTCCTTTATTTTCTAAGTTGGGGAAACTTCAAAGAAAAAAGGGAACAAAAGAGAATTTTTTTAAAAAGTTACATGGCTAGTGTTTGGGTATCCAACATACCAAGTTAGCTAATTACAATGGAAGGATTAAATGATGGCTAAATTTTACTTCACTTGTGCTATTCAGTCATGGATACAATCTGAGCCAATTTCTGTGCTCCTGAGTTGAAGTAATTTAGTTCACATCTGATATGCATCTGATTTAGATGCAAAAAGTATTATCCTCAAAATCAGGGGCCAATAAACTATATAGCCCAAGGGCCAAATCTGGTCTGATATCTGACTTTGCACATAAAGTTTTATTAGAACACAATTATGACCATGTATGCATTGTTGGTGGCTGCTCTCCACCTGCAACAGCAGAAATGAATAGTTTTGACAGGAACTGTATGACCCACGAACTGAAGATATTTACTACCTTTACAGAAAAAGTTTGCTTACCTTTGTTTAAGATGATGCCAGAAGGCCACACACCACACAACATTGTTCAAGAGATTGTGACACAGAAGTACCCAAGCAAGGCACATCATTTCTAGTTGCTTACTCCTTACATTAATTACTCAGATTTTAGACAAATTAATCACAATAATTGCACATATCCATTTCCCACCTTCTGATTCTATATGTAAAACACCACACATCTCTTTTCCAAAGAACTCTATATCCTCTCAAACTTTAACATTATCAGCATTATATTATCCAGAAATATGCTATAGCAGATCATAAGAAATACCATTAATGAGCTATAAGTACTCTTTGCCCATGCATTTTAGATGCATTCACATCTTTTTATGTGAAGGCAATAAACATTAAAATATTAATATTAACAAAGGAACAATAAAGGATTCAAATAATAATTTTCCAACTTTAGGAACCATCTTACTATTTCATGTAAGATAAAACATTAGTTATAATCATTCAAATTCAGGTCTCTGAATTAGAAAAACTTTTACAAGTGTCACCTTTAAGTATTCCATAAAATGTATCCCATAAAAGTCCCTCAAAATTATACTCTTTCTACTGACTACTGACTACATACTTACATGAATACATATCTCATAGTCAATGTAAGAATGCCAGAAGTCTTCCTTCTGAATCCTAGGATCTCGAACCCAGACACTTACAAACTCCTGTAATGGCATCATAAACAAAGAAATATGTTTCAGAGCTGCTAGCAGGACTGGAAAGAACTGAGACAAACGACTGCACGAAAACAAAACTGAAATGAGCTTTAACCAGTGTGGTACTTGTAATCCTTTCAAAAACAAGAAGTAAAGTTAATGAATCAGGAACCACGAGCAAATCCAGAAAACACTTGCCACATAATGGAATTTTTAAAATAATGCAAAACTGAGGTGGGCGCACTTCTGGATAGTTTTACATGTTATCTGAAGACAAAGTATACTGCACAATTGATTTTTAATTTTTAATCACAAAATATTGGTTCAGATTTTTTTTTTAAATTTAAAAAGTGATCATTTCTTACTTTTGCCGTCTCTCCAAATTGAAACTATGGGCCCTTCTGAATAAGCTGCTTCCTAGGACACAAGTAAGAAAGGGCACCAGGCCAAGCATGGTGGCTCACACCTGTAATCCGAGCACTTTGGAAGGATCTCTTGAGCCCAGGAATTTGAGACCAGCCTGGGCACCATGGCAAAACTCCATCTCTCAAAAAAAAAAAAAAAAAAAATTAGCCAGGCACAGCGGTGTGTGCCTGTAGTCCCAGCTATTCGGGAGGCTGAGGAGGGTGGATCACTTGAGCCCAGGAGGTGAAAGCTGCAGTGAGCCTTGATTGTGCCACTGCACTCCAGCCTGGGCAAAACAGCAAGACCCTGTCTCAAAAGGAAAAAAAAGAAAAAGAAAGGATACCAAAGGTCATGGGAAAAGTAGGCAAAGAGGGTTGAAGTTGACTTTGTGCATGCAACCCAGCCATGTGAGAATAAGCAGTAATAACTTATTAATAGAAAGATGAACACCTCCTTTTACATACTTTTCTATTTTTAAAATATATTTCCCATACGTTAAATCATTTCATCTTCATATTTTTATGTTACATGTAAAAGAGATATTAAAAATCATATATAGATAATTTTGTTCTTTTATAAAGATAAGAATAGGAAACATGCGGTAAAATTTAAAACAATACTTTTCAAGAGGTGCTCTTTAGTAAATAGGTTTAGTTTAAAAATATGAAAATGTACAGCAAAAAAGTATCGTGTTTCACATGGTAAGTTTTTAAGTGTAACTTATTTACTCAGTGATCATAAATTTGTTGAGTTTGACTTTAAATAATACAGCTTTTTGATAAGATTGGGACTTCAAGACTGGCATTCAGGCATGTCTTACTGCTTCCTGGGGCACATCTGAGCAGCAGGCTATGAACGTGCAAGAGCAGAAGTAACAGAGAGATTGGGGGCTTTCAGGACAAAGCACCTCCATTGTGTCAGACAGATAATTAAATGAGACTCTTCATTACAGACGATTTTTTTAAATCAAAAAAATACACCACATTCTTTGAAAGTAACTTTTGCCACCTATCAAGTTTCACCTTCTAGGGCAACACACACTTTTTCCTTGCACTAGAGACTTCTGTCCCACTGCTTGTCTTCAGTAGACAGGGAGTATGAATTCATGTTCCAAAAAGTCTTATTTTAAAATATTTTCATTACATATTTTTAAAATCATTTAGGGAACAGATTAAGAACAAGATAGGCTGGGCACAGTGGCTCATGCCTGTAATCCCAGCACTTTGGGAGGCCGTGGCAGGTGGATCACCTGAGCTCAGGAATTCCAGACCAGTCTAGCCAACATGGTAAAACACTGTTTCTACTAAAAATACAAAAATTAGCCAGGCATGGTAGCAGGTGCCTGTAATCTCAGCTACTTGGGAGATTGAGACAGGAAAATTGCTGGAACTCGGGAGGTAGAGGTTGCAGTGAGCAGAGATGGCGCCATGCACAACAGCGAGACACTGTCTCAAGAAAAAAAAAAAAAAGAACAAGACAACAACATAGTGATACTCTAAATGCTTTAGCCATTATTTCTTTTCTTTTTTCTGTTTTTTGAGATAGGGTCTTACCCTGGCACCCAGGCTGGAGTGCAGTGGTGCAGTTTCAGTTCACTGCAGCGTCAAACTTGAGGGCTAAAGTGATCCTCTTAACCTAAACTAACCCCGCTCCCAGCAGCTGGACTACAGGCGGGTGCCACCATGCCCAGCTAATTTTTTAACTTTATAGAGACGAGGTCTCGCTATATTGCCCAGGCTGATCCCAAACTCCTAGGCTCAAGCAACCCTCCTGCCTCAGCCTCCCAAAGTGCTGGGATTATAGGCATGAGCCACTGTGTCCTAGCCATTATTATTTCTTCCTCTCTATTTCCTTTTTTTTAAATGCACATTAAGAGACAACCACTATTTCTTAAAACACATTCTAAATTACAAGAGGAAATAAAAAAAAATTTTTAAACCAAAGTATCCATAATAGCCCCTAACCACAATATGATATGGCACATTCTGCCCAAGGATGGAAACAGAAGCAAAAATCCAGGTACTCTGCTCTTGGTCTATGCTTTTCACCTCCATCTCTTGTCACTGTATGCATGTGTGTCTCTTAAATTCATTTTCCTATAGTACTTTTCACATACCCACAGTTCTCAGAATGAATGATCAATCATTTAAAATGAAAAATTCATTTTAATTTCACAGTGGCCCAATGCCAAGGCCTATGAATCAATGAACAGAAGGACAAATAAAAATAGGAGAGAAGCACAAGTCCGTGTGTGTGTGTGTGTGTATGTGTGTGTGTGTGTATACATATATATTTTTTTAAACAGGGTCTTGTTCCATCACCCAGGCTAGGGTACAGTGACATGATCTCAGCTCAATGCAACCTCCACCTCCAGGGTTCAAGCAATTCTCCTGCCTCAGCCTCCTGAATAGCTGGGACTACAGGTGCATCTCACCACCATACCCAGCTAATTTTTGTACTTTTTTTTTTTTTAGTAGAAACAGGGTCTCACTTCACGTTAGCCAGGCTGGTCTCGAACTCCTGACCTCAAGTGATTTGCCTACCTTGGCCTCCCAAAGTGCTGGGATTACAGGCATCAGCCACCACCCCCAGTCAAAAAATAATATATTAAAAACCATACTTTAACACTACACTGGTACAAAGGTGAATATATTAATATTACATAGTTTTAAAACCTTTTCTTATTCTGAAAGTTCATTTTATTATTCTGATGTTAAAAGCAATTAAATCAGGGTATTAAATATAAGGTGGAAAGAAAAAAATAAAAGGAATTAAAATATTTTCATGGGGTCAGGTGTGGTTGCTCACGCCTGTAATCCCACCACTTTGGGAGGCTGAGCTAGGAGGATCACGTGAGGTCAGGGGTTTGAGACCAGCCTGGCCAATGTGGTGAAACCATGTCTCTACTAAAAATGCAAAAATTATCCAGGTGTGGTGGCAGGCACCTGCAATCCCAGCTACTCAGGAGGCTGAGGCAGGAAAATCACTGGAAGCTGAGAGGCAGAGGTTGCGGTGAGCCAAGATCACACCACTGCACTATAGCCTAGGCAACAGAAGGAGACTCCACCTGAAAAAAAAAAAAAAAAAGAAAGAGGCTGGGCATGGTGGCTCACGCCTGTAATCCAAGCACTTTGGAGGCCAAGGCGGGAGGATCACCTGAGGTCAAGACTTCAAGATCAGCCTGGCCAACATGGTGAAACCCCATCTTAAAAAAAAAGAAAAGAAAAGAAAGAGAGAAAAAAAAAAACATTTTCATGGGCCCCTAAAAGTAGTATGGCCCTGGGCAATGGCTCTAACAGAGAAGCCAACCCTGCCTTCACTGTGATTAAAGGAGGATGTTGACAACAAAGGACCAAGTCATCTGCACCCTTTTCACAGAGACAACACGGACAGCTCCCGATCACCTGGTCACCTGATAGCCACATTCCCTCAGAAGGTGGTGGCATATTCACTTTCCCACTTAAGAGGAAGAAGTTCCTGGATATACCAAAAAGGGAGATTATTTCCAACAGCTCAGTGTTCCACATTAACAGTAGAAAACATGCACCCATTACTGATATAGCGAGCCTTCGCACAGATTAAATAAAATAAAAAGAAAACACATTTGTCAATTTGTCACAAATCTGTTATTGAAAAAAAGAATTGCTTTGGCATTATCTCTTATTTAAAAAGATAAAAGATTTGACTAAAAGGGAAGGAGATGTTGAATACATATTCTAAAACCATGCTAGAAACAAAAATATCTTCTAAGAACACAACAATGCATTTTAAATGCACTCAAAATTCAATGCAGCACTAAGACTCCACGTATTTTTTCAATCCTGAAAATCTTTAACTTGGCGTGCTAAATATCACTATTCTCTTCAGGATGGCAAACTTTTCTTCCTTTTCTGCTCCCTGAAACATTTCTGTGCCCTTGAGAGCCATCCCAGGCCACTGTTCTTTGCACCCTATTGCAATTCTAGAGTGACCTCATCCAAACATATTCAGCCCTCTTGAGTAAGTTGATGGTCCCATCCAAAGCTCCATCCCAGTTCAGGCACCTCTCCCGTGGATCCAGCCTCTAGCCTGATCCACCTAGAAGTCCCCTGAGCATGCTGTGCCCATACCCTTCCCACATCATCCTGCTTCCCTTCTCAGTGAAAAGCATCTCCCACCAACCCCAGCGAGAAACCCAGTTCCCCCAAACTTCTGTGAATGACTCATTCCCCAAATTGACAAAGACCAAGTCCTTCAGAGTCATTCTCCTTGGAACCACCACCAACTATTCCCTCTGCTGTTCCCTTGGTTTAAGGACCTCTTTCCCAACATTAACGCAAGAACTGCTAATTTATCTCTGGGCCCATATCCAATGCATTCCCCACATGAAGACAAGAATGGCCCCAAAACACGTTAACTGATGATGTTGCTTTCCTACTGAAAATCCTTCAAAGGCTGCCCCATAACCTTCAAGATCAAGCTCAAACTCCTCAGCTAGTACAATACAGCCTTTCATGATTTTTCACTCTGCTTATCTTCAAAGGCTAAGTGTAGGTCCCCATATGCAACATGCCACTTCACACTTCCATGCCTTTGACCAAGCTGTTCTCTTTGCCTGGATTGCT